ACAGGCTGATAGGGATGACGGACGGTGCCAGACCCTGTACTGGCAAGCACACCCAAGAATCAGGTCTGGGATCACTTCAGATGAAGTTTCTGGACTCAGAACCCCAACCATGAAGAAAAGTGTAGGTTCCATGGTCTGACCATGGAGTCCGTGTGTCAAAGCTGAGCTGCCTTAGTGGCTCAGACGGAGCAGTGGACAGCATAGCCAGGTGCACATGGAGGACATGGCAGTACGTTGGAGCCTGCAGAGGACACCTGGTACCATAATAGAGAACGGAGGACAGAACAAATAGATCAAGTACCCCAGCCAAGTGTTGGCAGTGAATATCTGGGCAAACGGAGACTCTAAGGTGGACTATGTCAGCCAGTGGATTCTGGAGAGATTTCATCGTGCTTGGAATGGCAAGACTGGCAGCAATTCAGAACTGTTGAAACCACTTGAGCAGGACCCTTGGAGCATGCCCCACATCAGGGACCCTGGGATGGTTGGGAGGCTGGGTGGGGCTTCTCCCTTTGTCTCGCCCCTTCCCCCAGATACTGGAACGAAAAAAGAATGTGGAAACAATGGCCTTACCCACTTTCCTGTAGCCCTTGACCTTTTGAGCCCTAATCAACTATGTAAAACTCATCAAAATAAAAAAATTTTTTAAAATTTATTTTTAGTGGAAAGTCAGATATACAGAGAGGAATATCTTTCATCCACTGAGTCACTCCTCAAGTGGCCAGAACGACCAGAGCTGCACCAATGTGAAGCCAGTAGCCAGGAGTCTCTGCCGGTGCAGGGTCTCAAGGCTTTGGTCTGTCCTCAACTGCTTTCCCAGGCCACAAGCAGGGAACTGGATGGGAAGCAGCACTGCCGGGCTTAGAACCGGTGCCCATATGGGATCCTGGCATGGTGCAAGGTGAGGACTTTAGCCACTAGGCCACCACGCTGGGCCCATGCTTACAGCTATAAGAGAAGAGATACCGTCTCATGAGGATCTGCCTTGAATTCCTAGGGGGTTACTGACTTATTACAGTCACCTAAAATGTGTTGAAGCCCACCCCACCCCCCCATAGCTGCCACTCCAGATCATTTCTGTAAAGAGAAGAACTCCCCTGTGGCCTGCTTGCTAGTCACGCATGTACACAATTTAATGTTCTCCAAGGGAGAGTCACTAAACCACCTTGCTTTCCAGTTCCACTCAGTAGGATATTTAAGGCCTTGTCTTACTGCCCTCCCCCAGAGAACCTGAATTCATGAGCATTCAGGTCCTCCATGTAAAGTGGTGTAATACTTGCATATAAATAGCACATCCTTTTGTATGTAGTCACCGTGGCCTCGGGGCTGGCACAGTGGAGGAGCAAGTTAAGCCTGCCATGTTAACATCCCCTGTGGGTACTCATTCGAGTCCCAGCTGCTCCACTTGTGATCCAGTTCCCTGATGATGGCCTGGGAAAGCTGTATAGGTTAGCCCAAATGGCTCCAACAGCTAAGGCCAGGCCAGGCCAGGCTGGAGTCAGGAGCCTGGAACCCCATCTGGGTCTCCCCACGCGGTACCACAGCCCAAGCACTTGGCCGTCCCTCCGCTGCTTTGCCAGGTGCACCAGCAGGGAGCTCGGTTGGAAATGGAGCAGCCGGGACAGGAACCATCTGGGATGTGGGTGCTGCCGGCATCGCTTAACCCTTCTCGCCACAGCGCTGGCCTCGTCTTAGCTCTTTAAGTTGCTGGGACAGATTGTGGGGACCTAAATCAGGCCCAGCTGTGTGCATTCATGTTGGCTGTTACTGCAAACAGCCGTGGTCAAACAGCTTTTCCCACGTGGAACCTACTTAGCTTATGGCCATGGAAATAAGTATAACGAAGCTGGGCCGTGACGTCCACTAACAAACTGAGGCGGTTCCTGGAATTAAGGTTAGAAGGTGAAAAAAATGTGTGTTTAGCTTAAAACATCACCAATGAATGTTAGTTTCAGTAATACCCACCTGGGTATTGAGAAATGACAAGACCTGCCAAGCAGTAGAATATACAGGACTCATATATGTGTAATCTCCTTGGGAAAACCAGTTATGGTCATGAACTGAAAGGTGTGGAAAGTTTTGCGAGTTTTTTCATTTTTGAAAGATTTTTTTAAAAGGTATTTGAAAGAGTTAAACGGACAGGAAGAAGAAACAGAAAGATCTTGCGTTTGCTGGTTCTGCCCTGAATGGCCACAATGGCAGGGGCTGGGCCAGGCCAAAGCTAGCAGCCAGCTTCCTTTAGGTCTCCCTTGAGAGTGGCAGAAGCTTTAATATCCAGGTCGTCCTCCTCTGCCTTCCCAGGCCATAAGCAGGGAGCTGGACGGGAAGTGGAGCAGCTGGGATTTGGACCAGCCACCAGGTGGCATGCCAGCACCACCGGCAGACACTTTACCGGCCATGTCGTGGTCGTGCTGGTGTCCTAATTCTTCACACTGCATTATCAACTTCATGTATCGGTTTGCAAGGCCAGAGAAACAGAAAGCTTTGTGACAAATGGTTACAACTGGGTAGGGCAGTGCCCAGCATGAGCTCCACCCACTGTGGGTGGCAGGGGCTACGCTTGAGAGCATGGAGGCCCCTGCTAGGACATTCATACCCACTGTGGGCAGCAGGGGTTGTGTCAGGTGCATGGAGGCCCGTGCCCACTGTGGGTGGTAGGCACTGTGCCATCTCCTGCCCACTGTGGGTGGCAGGGGCTGTGCTGGGAGCACGGAGGCCCCCGGTGGGCATAGCCCTGCCCACTGTGTGCAGCACGGGCTGTGCTGGGAGCACGGAGGCCCCCGCTGGGCATAGCCCTGCCCACTGTGGGCAGCAGGCACCTGCACACTTGAGCCATCTCCTGCTGTCTCCCCAGCATGCCCGTGAGCAGGAAGGTGGCATTCAGAGTGCGGTGCCCTGACCAATGAGCCATGTACGCCCTTGCCTTCCCATTCAGTCTGAGCAACACTATACGTGATATTTTCAGCAAGTGCAGCTTGCGCTCACAAAAGCACTCAACAAGCTATACAATTCTTTTCTTTGCTTTTACTGGAAAGGCAGAATTATGGAGAAACAGAAAGATCTTTCATCTACTAGTTCACTCCCCAAGTGGCCACAGAGGTCGGAGCTGAGCCGATCCAAGCCAGGAGCCTGTGCAATGGACTGTATGCCCAGACACACATGGGGGTCATGGCAGCCGGCTCCTCTAGGCCAGGAGAGGATGTCAACTGACTTCACCAGAGGATGGAGAGCAGAACAGGTTGGACCACTCTCCTGGCCAAGTTGTGCAGCACAGCACGTTCCTGGGGCTGTCGATGCACTCAGGTGGACTTGGTCAAACAACAGACTTCAGAAAGATTTTCTCAACCCTGAAGCAATGAAACAACATCTTCTAGAACTTCTAAAACCATTCAAACTACACCTTTGAAACACTCTTCCCCAGTGTTAGCAAATGATTGTCCCTCATCCCCAGGCGCTGAAGGAGCAAGGAGTGGTGCCCCCTGCTTATCCTTCCCTGAGGACACAGGAGAAAAAGGGAAAAAAAAAAAAAGCAGAAATTGTCCTACCCACCTTCCAGATTAATCAGTTGAGCCATTGCACTGGGCCCCAAAACTATATAATTCTAATGCTGTCCGCATGACTGCTGGCCAGGAAAGGGAAGATTGCTAAAGAAATAGGCTCTTTTTATTTTTTTGAAAGATTTGTTTTTATTGGAAAGTCAGATTTACAGAGAGGAGAGACAGAGAGGAAGATCTTCCGTCTGATGATTCACTCCCCAAGTGACTGCAACGGCCGGTGCTGTGCCAATCTGGAACCCGGAGCCAGGAACTTCTTCCAGGTCTCCCACGCGGGTGCAGGGTCCTAAGACTTAGGCTGTTCTCAGCTGCTTTCTCAGGCCACAAGCAGGGAGCTGGATGGGAAGTGGGGCTGCCGGGATTAGAACCAGTGCCCATATGGGATCCTGTGCATTCAAGTCGAGGACTTTAGCCGCTAAGCCACTGCACCGGGCCTAAAATAGGCTCTTAATACTGATGCAGGGCATCCCATACGGGAACCAGCTTGAGTCCTGGCTGCTCTGCTTGCCATCCAGCTCCCTGCTGGTGATCTGAGAAAGCAGTTGAGCACAGCCCAAAGCCTTGGGACCCTGCACCCGCGTGGGAGACCCGGAAGAAGCTCCTGGCTCCTGGCTTTGGATCAGCTCAGCACCAGCCGTTGTGGCCACTTGGGGAGTGAACCAGAGGACGGAAAATCTTTTTTTTTTTTTTTTTTTTTTTTGTCTCTCCTCTCGGTGTAAATCTACCTTTCAAATAAGAATAAATAAATCTTCAACATAAGCAGTAGGCTCCGGCTGGGGTGGTCTGTCCTCGCCTTTGTAGCTGTTTGGCCTTTGGGTCCGTAAGTTGGTGAGGAGCAGCCGGAAAGTGGGTTAAGGTCACACCTCGGCCGTGACCCCACTCAGCAGGGTGACAGTGGAGACCCTCCACTGCCACCGGCGCTGAGAAGCCGCCCTCCCGCCGGGCGTGCTGCCCCACGTCGCGGGTTCGAGGCCTCCTCCCTCGGCCCTGCCCGCAGCACCTTCCATCAGCCGTTTTAGTAAAAAGCCACGGTGACACTAAAGGTTATTACAGCGCTCTTATAACGTTCCTGCCGTCATCGTTCCGTCCTCTGTGCGCAGAATCGGCTATTTCCTCGTCAAATTTCTGAAGTAAAAACAACAACAACAACGTATGTTTATGTTTAAGTCCCCTCCCCTCGCGTTCGAGATGGTTTCGCCCAGAAGCCCTGGCGGCTGCGGAATGAACCATTCCCTGCCTGTCGGCGGGGGGATGCGGCGGCGTGGCGGTGCCGGAGGAGGCGAGTGCAGGCCGCGGTCCCCCACTCGGCCCCGGGCCCCGGAGGGAAGGCCGCTCGGGGTGGCTTCCCGGACGCGAGGGCCTGGCTCCGCGGGCCTCGGGGTGCAGGGCGCGCTCGGGCGGCCCCGGGGCTCCCCCGCGGCGGCCGGGGCGGCTGGGACGGCCCGGCCCAGTCACGCGCCTCTGGCTGGGCGCCCTGGCCGAGGGGACCGCGGGTGCGTGAGGGGAGTGAGGGGAGTGGGGAGACCCCGGGGGAGTGAGGGGAGTGGGGGAACCCTGGGGGAGTGGGGAGACCCCGGGGGAGTGAGGGGACCCCGGGGGAGTGGGGGGATCCTGGGGGCGTGAGGGGACGCGGGTGCGTGAGGGAGTGAGGGGACCGCGGGTGCGTGAGGGGAATGGGGGGACCCTGGGGGAGTGGGGGGACCCTGGGGGAGTGGGGGAACCCCGAGGGAGTGAGGGGATCCTGGGGGCGTGAGGGGACGCGGGGAAGTGAGGGGAATGGGGAGACCCCGGGGAAGTGAGGGGACGCGGGGGCGTGAGGGGACCCTGGGGGAGTAGGCGGACCCCCGGGGAGTGGGGGGACCCCGGGGAGTGGGCAGACCCCCGGGGAGTGGGGGGACCCCGGGGGAGTGGGCGGACCCCCGGGGAGTGGGGGGACCCCGGGGGAGTGGGCGGACCCCCGGGGAGTGGGCGGACCCCGCGGGAGTGGGGCAGTGCTGATGGGGTCTGGATGAGGATAGGGCTGGCTGTGTGGGGCGGCTACAATCCCATTTCTGGGATGCGGCCCTCTCTTCCAGGCTGTCACCCCCTCTCTGGAGCTGTCCAGCAGGGCAGAGTGATGGGGGTACCCCGCCCACCCCTCACCCCACTCCACCCCATCCCCCCCGCTGCCGAGATGGGGTGCTGGCCCTTTTGGGCAGGGGAGCTCCAGCCTCCCCTTGCGTCTGGGTTTGTCCTCCATCGGGCTGGGGAAGGGTGGGTGGAAAACCGGGGGAGAAGGGCTTAGCTGCCCGCATGGCGCGTGCGCGGAGGCGTGAGGTGGGCGGCGGTGGGCAGTGGTGGCGAATGGCAGCTGGTGACATGGACTTGTCACAGCGTCATAGAGCAGGAGTGGCAGGTGATCTCGTGTTTGCCCGCTGGGTCGGGGACACGGGTGCAGCGTGGTGGTGCCCGCCGGTGGGTGGCTGTGTGTGGGTCAGCTGGGATACAAACCAGTGCCCATGTAACATGCTGGTGTTTGCAGGTGGACAGTGAATTAGCCTGTTGCGCCCTGCCAGCCCCCTCATTTCCATTTCTGCAGACTCCCTGAAGTCTCCCGTGTCATTTGTCCTTTGGTGCAGGCTGGCCTGGTCTGCTGACACCCAGGTCTGCCATGTCAGTGTGGGAGCCTCTTCTAGGCCCCTGGGGTGTGACCCTTACCCGATCCCCGCACCCCTCCTGCCCTGGCACCCCTCAGTCTGCTGCCTGTGTGCAGCACCCCTCCTGTCCCGGGATATCTCTGCCTCCCTGCAGAGTTCGTCTGTTCTCGCAGCGCTGTCCTCTGCCCCAGCCTGTAGCAGCCATTTCTGCCTGGGGCATCTTCCGTGTGGCCACTCACCCCTGGGGTCCTTCTCTCTTGTGGCTGTTCCTGGCCCGGTGACCCGCAGGTGGCACTGGTGCACAGCTGTGACCATGGTCCCAGAGGCTCCTGGGAGGCCCCCCCCCCCCGGGTGGGGCTTGCTGCCTGCTCATGGCCACCTCGTCCCGCAGGTCTTCAGGGCACCATGAATGCCATCGTTGCCCTTTGTCACTTCTGTGAGCTGCATGGCCCCCGCACGCTCTTCTGCACCGAAGTCCTGCATGCGCCACTGCCGCAGGGGGCAGGCAGCGGGGACAGCCCGGGCCAGGGCGAGCAGGCCGAGGAGGAGGAGGGCGGTATCCAGATGAGCGGCCGCCTCCGCGCCCACAGCCCCGCCGAGCCGGGCAGTGCAGGGCCCACGAAGTCGGACATGTGCGAGGCAAGTATGCCCGGGCGGGGTGGAAGGCAAGCCCTGGGAGCCCTGGGCACCACGGCTGAGCCCGTCTCAGCTGCCCTGGCAGATGTGTGCGATCTGTGTCCCCCCCCATCCAGTTCGCTTCCATTCTGGGTGTTGGTGCCCACTGGGCATGGAGCTTGGTGGCCCCAGGGCATATCTGCCTGGCGGGGAGACCCCCAGTGGGGCCCTGGGATCCACAGGGCATATTGGACCAGCCCTGTTAGTTTTCCTGGGAAGCGGGCACATCACTGCTAGGGCCCGGGAGGGGGGTCCAGAGGGAAGCTGGGCTTGCCTTGTTTGGGCAGGGGCTTGGCGTGGCCCTGGGGTGTCCCAGGCAGCCCGGCATGTGACTCACCACCTTCCATTCAGGCACTCTGACCTCCTGTCCCCCCTCCCCGCTCAGGGCCCAGTTTGGTGGGTGTGGAGGCCTGGCTGGGCTGCAGGTACAGCTCTGCCCAGCCAGCCATGGCTCCCCCGCCTCTGGAGCGGGTGCTTGCAGGGTTAGAGCGTGGCTGGAGTGAGACACCTGACTCAGTGATTCCTGTGCACCAAACAGGAGTTAGCTGAGTCCAGCATGGCACCTCGTGGCCTGCGTGACAGTTCACGCGCTTTTCTCTCTCGCCTCGGACAGGGCTGCCGCTCGCTCGCCGCAGGCCACCCGGGGTACATCAGCCACGATAAGGAGACCTCGATTAAATATGTCAGTCACCAGCACCCCAACCACCCCCAGCTCTTCAGCATCGTCCGCCAGGCCTGCGTCCGGAGCCTCAGCTGCGAGGTGAGCCCTGGGGAGGGGTCCTGGCTCAGGGACGCACACGCCATCGGTTCAGGGCTGCCTGGGGCCCGGAGGGCGTGGGCTGCAGGACACGGCCCTTGTCCAGCACTCACTGAGTCACGTGGGACTTGCTGGGTTTGCCAAACTTCTATAACTTGCCGTTTTTTTATTAAACAGTTTTATTTTTGTTATTTTTTTGGTTGTAGTTATCTTTTTTTAAGATATATATTTTTTTTTGGTGGGGAGGTGGCAGTGCAGTAGCTCAACTGGTTACTCCTCTGCCTTGTAGTGCAGCCATCCCATTTGAGCATCCCATTTCTTGTCCTGGCTGCTCCACTTCCCATCCAGCTCCCTGCCTGTGGCCTGGGACCCTGTCCTTGTGTGGGAGACCCTGAGGAGGCTCCTGGCTTGGGCTTTGGATTAGCTCAGCCCCAGCCATTATGACCATTTGGGTAGTGAACCAGTGGATGGATGGAGGATCTTTCCTTCTTTCTGTTAACTTGCCTTTCAAACAAAAATAAATAAATCTTATAGTTTTTTTTTATGTGAGTGATGGAGTTAGGGAGAGAGAAACAAAGACATAGGGAGAGCGATCTCCATCCACGGTTGACTCCCCAAATGGCTGCAGTGGCCGGAACGGAGCCAGCTCGAAGCCAGCTCGAAGCCGGGAGCCTCTTCCAGATCTTCCCCATGGGTGCAGGGGCGCAAGGCCTCAGGCCGTCCTCTGCTGCTTTCCCAGACACATCATCGAGGAGCTGAATGGAAAGTGGAGCAGCTCGGACACGAACCGGCACCCATATGGGATGCTGGCGCTGCAGGTTGAGGATTAGCTTGCTATGCCACCATGCTGGCTCCAGATTTATTTTATTGGAAAGGCGGAATGACAGAAATCTTTTATCTGCTGCTTTGCCCCGATGTCCACAACAGCCAGGACTAGGATGGACTAAAAGCAGTCGCCGGTAGCTCCGTCCTGTTCATTCCATGTGGGTGCAGGAGCCCCAGCACTTGGCCGTCCTCCGCTGCTTTCCTTGGTACGTTAACACAGAGTCGGATCGCAGTTGGAGCATTCCGACATAGGATGCCAGCATTCCAAGCATTCCCAACACCTGGCTGGCTGAAGTTTCTGGGAATTCCCACCAATGTTCTGGTGTCCAGCTGGGTCTCCCATGTAAGTGCACGTTAACAGGAAGCGCGGCTGAGCCAGGATCTGAAGCTGGCACTGTGTGTGGGATGGCAATTCAAAGCAGGAGCTTAACCTGCTGTACCACAGCACCCACCTGTAATTGTCTGTTTTTTTTAAAAATATATATCTATTTTTTAATTTTGTTTTTAATATTGTTTGTATAGTTGAGGGGGATGCATGCCCATGTGGGCCTCTGATTAGGGTGGGAAGGGCTGAGGTGCGGAGGAAAGTGGATGAGATAAATGTTTCAGTTCTGTTTTGTTCTCCTGAATCCACTGGGGGTGGGGGTTAAGGATCGGGGGCCATTACTTATTGTCAAACTACATCAACCCCTGGGGATGGAGGACAGCCGTTTGATGATGCCTTAGAGACCCCCCCATGTGGGCAAGAGTGTTCCAAGGGTGGTTTTGGTAGTTCTGAGACCTTGTTGGCTTCATTGCTTCAGGGTTGAGAAAATCTTTCCAGAGTCCTGGTTTGGAGAAAGTCCACCTGAGTGCATCGACAGACCCAGGAACGTGCTGTGCTGCACAGCTTGGCCAGGAGAGGGGTCCAACCTGTTCTGCTCTCCATCCTCTGACGAGGCAGTTGGCATCCTCTCCTGGCCAGGATGAACTGGCTGGCATGTTTCCCATGGCATGCTGTCCACTGCACAGGCACCGGCCACCGAGGAGGGCCAGTCCTGACACATGTACTGCCAGGGTCTGAGCCCAACAGTCTGGCTAAGGAGTGCCCTAAAAAACTTTGCCTTGACTCGTCTGTGCTAGCTAATGCAGGCTCAAGGTTGGTCTGTTTCCAGCCAGCACATACCGATGGATACAGCTACCTGGCCATTTCTACCTTAGCCCTGTCTCCCACATGAACTGACAGGTGCCAGGGTCTAACCCAGACCAAGAGGTGCTGTCACTTAGTTGAGCTGACCCTCAATAAACCCCAGTTTTTTCCACATGTTGGCATGTGCTGTGGTAGGCCCAGACCCAGCCCACATGCGGGTGTTGCAGTTCAACCTAGTCTGGCCTATACACCATCCTGGCTTTCGCTTATGCCAGTCAGTGGGTACTGTGGACTGACCCAGCCCAGCTCACCCCCAGGCCCGGCCCATGGGTGTTGCAGCCCCTAGCCCGCCTCTGGTCTTCACCAGTGGAAGCTGCAGCCTAACAGGGGAGTTGCCCTCTTAGGCCTGCTTCCAGCCTTGAATTTCCACTGTGCTGCATCCCATCCTGACATGGCTCACCCCCAGTCCTGACACTGGTGGATCCCGTGGCCTTGTGTGACTGGGCTGTACCCATTCTCTCACAAGCACTGGCAGGTGCTGGGGCCTAGCCCAGTCTGTCCTACCTGCAGACCCAGCCCACATATAAACGACTGGGTGTTGCAGCCTTGCCCAGCCCAGTCTACCCCCAGCCTTGGCTCTTGCAATCAGCAGGGAGCTATAGCCTAGCTTAGGAATCCCCAAAGTTCCCCTGTCTCCTACCTTGAGTGTGCTGGTGGGTACTTCAGCCCAGCCTGGCATGTTCTGCCCCAGTCTCAGCTCTCATTGGTGGGTGTGGCAGCCTCACTCAGCCCAACCTGATGTAACCAACACCGTGTCCTGGTCCTCATGTATTTCAGCAGGTTCTACAGCTGGGCCCAGCCTTCACCCAGACCCGGCCTGCAGAGCTGCTAATGAGTGCTATGCCTTACCTGGCCTGGCCCACCTCCTGCCACAGCTGTCATGCTCCCCATGGGAGATACAGCCTAGTAGGGGGGTTTCCCAAGTCCCTCTACCAGGCTGACTGCCAGTCTTGGATCTCATGATCCAGTGGGTGCTGTGGTTCATCCTGCCATCCCCTGTCCTGGCACTTGTGGGAGGGTACTGTGGCTTGGTTGGCCCAGGCAAGTCCCCCAACCCCAGCTTTCACATGTGCCAGAGGTGGTGGATGATGCTGCTTAGCCCAGTTCAGGTCTGCCATGTGGGCAGGTGCCTTGGCCTGACCCAGACATGCCCCCTGGTTGTTCCCTGCTCCCCCTTCAAACCACCTGCCTCAGTTACCTCAGGCCTGGTCTGTGGAAGCCCTGGAAGCCATTTCTCCACTGTCTAACATGCCTTCAGCAGCCCTTGAGCCCATGCATCCCCTAGCAGCATGCTGCGTGCCTGGCGCTGGGATGGCTAACAGCTTTGGCATTAAGCAGCCACAGTGCCCACTGGCAGCCAGCTGCTTTTCTCCCAGGAGTGTAACATTCACCTACAGTGGGGGGTGGGAGAACTTGTCTGCTCTTGATGCGCATATTACGAAGATGTGACTAATTTCTTTTTTTTTTTTTTAAGATTTATTTATTATTTATTGGAAAGTCAGATATACAGAGAGGAGAGACAGAGAGGAAGATCCTCCATCCGATGATTCACTCCCCAAGTGAGCGCAACGGCCGATGCTATGCCAATCCGGAGCCAGGAGCCAGGAACTTCTTCCAGGTCTCCCACATGGGTGCAGGGTCCCAAAGCATTGAGCCGTCCTTGACTGCTTTCCCAGGCCACAAGCAGGGAGCTGGATGGGAAGTGGGGCTGCCGGGATTAGAACCGGCGCCCATATGGGATCCTGGCGTGTTCAAGGCGAGGACTTTAGCTGCTAGGCCACGCCGCCGGGCCTTGATGTGACTAATATCTAAGGGCATGTCAATTATGGTATCAAATGTCACTATGAAAAGTATCTAAGTCTTAATTTGAGAGTCAGGCAGAGGGAGAGATTGGGATAGCTCCTGTCCGTTATTTCGCTCTCTGATGCCCATTGCAGCCCAAGCTGGGCCAGGCCAGAGCTTGGAGCAGGGCACCCCACCCAGCTCTCCCACATGGGACCCCTCCCCTGCTGATGCTCCTGGCCAAGGGGCATCTGTCCTCTTAATCTGCTTCTCCCTGGGCAGGCAGGTGGCATGTCTGCTTCAGGGGTGCCTCGGAGTAGCTGTGCCAAGAGGTTGCCAGTTCCCTCCTCTCCTGACAGATGGGTGTGCAGGCCGCATGGCACGGCTGGTAGAGCTCATGTGGGAGTACTGGCTCGGGCAGAAAGGCCAGGTGCCCGGTGAGCTGGCTCAGGTGTCCCACGGGCATCCCGCAGCCACGTTGCCATCCTGGGGAGGCCGTGAGTGCCCCCCTGGCGTCAGCATGGCTCGCCCTGCCACCCCAGGTGTGCCCCGGCCGGGAGGGCCCCATCTTCTTCGGGGATGAGCAGCACGGCTTCGTGTTCAGCCACACGTTCTTCATCAAGGACAGCCTGGCGCGCGGCTTCCAGCGCTGGTACAGCATCATCGCCATCATGATGGACCGCATCTACCTCATCAGCTCCTGGCCCTTCCTGCTCGGCCGCGTGCGCGCCATCATCGACGAGCTGCAGGGCAAGGCCCTCAAGGTGACGCCCCGGGCGGGGGGTGCTGCCTTGAGGAGGGCACGGGCGGCCGCAGCCGTGCTGAGGAGGGCGCTGGGGACTCTGTGGGCAGGTGTTCGAGGCCGAGCAGTTCGGCTGTCCGCAGCGCGCGCAGAGGATGAACACCGCCTTCACGCCCTTCCTGCACCAGAGGAACGGCAATGCGGCACGCTCGCTCACCTCCCTGACCAGCGACGACACCCTCTGGGCCTGTCTGCACACCTCCTTCGCCTGGTGAGCGGCACCTGGAGACCCCGGCACTGTGGGCTGCTGCTTTGGGGGGTCTTCTTTTTTTTTTTTTTTCTTAATTTATGTAAGAGAGAGTTGCAGCTGTGGGGCGTGGTGGCCTGCTGTGATCACCGTGGTTCTTGGGGGTGGCGGGGTGAAGCCCCCCGGCACGTGCCAGCCCTCACAGATGGCTGGGTCTGGCATGTCGAGCACCTGATATCCCCGCTCGTTAACCTCCTCTCCCTCCACTGTGGGATTTTTCAAACATCCCCAAAGGAAATGGCGCAGTGAGCCTACAGCCTGTGGCCCTATGTTAGCAGCACAGAAAAGAAGTTGAGTTTTTCAAACACTTATTATCTTTGAAAGATTTTTTTTTTTAATGTGAAATAAATTTATAGCAAGAAGGAGACAGAGAGAGGGGGAGAGGTCTTCCATCCGCTGACCCAGCCAGAGCTGGGCTCATCTGAGACGAGGAGCACCCCGGGGTCTCCCACAGGGGTGTAGGGGCCCAAGGACCTGGGCCATCCTCTGCAGGTGCCATGGCAGAGGCCGGGACTTGTACCAGTGTCCAAATGGGATGCTGGGTTGCAAATAGTGACTTAATTTGCTGCACGATGCTGGTCCCTAGCCGGAGCTCAAACCCAGTTGTTTGAGAAGCAACTTAATCACCTGGCTGAGCACCTGCCCTGTTTTTTGTTTATTTGTTTGAATTGGTTAACTTGAGAGGCAGAGAGACCCAGAGGCAGAGTTTGCATCCTGAAGCTTGCAGTGGCTGGTCCTGGTTTGTGGGAAGCCCTGAGGCGGGCATCCTGTGTGGGTGCCAAGAGCCGGACAGCGGACCTCTGAGGGTCACGCAGCACCCTCCAGCCATCAGCATTTTCCTCCCTACTCTTCCTTGGAGCATTTCTGTAGAATGCAACATGTTTGTGCCATGTGAGTCAGAGCCGAGAAGGTGGACTACATTGGGTACCATCCAGGGCACAGTCCACGCCTCTGCCATCTTCAATTGGCACTGCAATCATGGGGGCTTTTTTTTTTTTAAATTAATTTATTTTGGGGTACAGCTCAATAGCCTAGCAGCTGAAGTCCTGAGAGGCAGGGGCTGGAACTGAGAGGGCCCTGTTTCTTCAGGAGACAGAGGAGAGCTTTATGCAAACAGGTGTCATGATTGGCTTTGCTCTTCTTAAAAATAAATAAATAAATAAAATGTGTGTGTATGTATAATTCACAAGGGCACAGAGAGCTTGCCTCCACTGCTCCACTTACCAAATGACCAAAGTGACCAGGGCTGGGCTGGGTTGAAGCCAGGAGCCTGGAATTCCATGCAAGGGTTGGATCGGCTGCTGCTGCTGCTTTCCCAGGCACGTGAGCAGGCAGCTGGATTGGAAGTGGAGCAGCCGGGACTGGAACCTGCACCCACGTGCGATGCCAGCGTTCCTGGCAGTGGGTGAGCGCACTGTGCTACAGCACCCAGCCCAGGCTTGTATTCTCAAAGAACCAGCCTGGTTCTGAGAGTTCCTAAGGAAGCTCTTAGTGTGGCCGGCATGGCCGGTGATCCCTACAATGGTACCTGGAGACGGGCACCGGCAGTCCCAGCCCCCTGCCAAGTGGAGGTGTTAGTGAGTGGGTGGAGTTGAGATGTGTTTAGAGGAATAACTTTATGACTTGTGCCCTGAGCCACAGAGGAAGCTGGGGTAACAACAGGTCCTCGATTCTGGATCAGTCTATTTTTTTTTTTTTTTTAGTAATTTTATTTTTAAGATTTATTTTTATTTTTTGTTTTTTTAATTTTTATTGGAAAGTCAGATATACAGATAGGAGGAGAGACAGAGAGGAAGATCTTCCGTCCGATGATTCACTCCCCAACTGACCACAATGGCCAGTGCTGTGCCGATCTGAAGCCAGGAGCCAGGAACTTCTTCCGGATCTCCCACTCAGGTGCAGGGTCCCAAAGCATTGAGCCGTCCTTGACTGCTTTCCCAGGCCACAGGCAGGGAGCTGGATGGAAAGTGGAGCTGCCGGGATTAGAACTGGTACTCATATGGGATCCTGGGCATGGAAGCGAGGACTTTAGCCGCTAGGCTACCATGCTGGCCCCCACCCTACCCCCTCCCTGTGTTTTAAATTCTGCATGTAAGAGCTTCTCCTGCCCTGGTTTAAGACCAGCCTTGGGTTGCAGTCACATGGGGCTGCCAGTGTTGGGGGCCAGCTGACAGGGACCCTGTGGGCCACTCAGCTGGTTCCTGCAGAGGCTCGGAGAGCATGAGGCCCAGGGCATCCTGCGGCGAGCCCAAGCCTCATGGCTGCCACTGTATCCCCCAGGCTCCTGAAGGCGTGCGGCAGCCGGCTGACCGAGAAGCTCCTGGAGGGTGCCCCAACCGAGGACACCCTGGTGCAGATGGAGAAGCTGGCTGGTGAGGCTGGGGGCGGCCACGGGGCTCCCGGCAACCGGGGTCCGTGATGTGAGCATCGTGACCAGAAAGGCCGCACCGTGCAGGGGAGAGGGGCTAGAGACGGCTGTGCCATCCACTGCTTCACTCTGCAAAATGACCGCAGTGGCTGGGTTCGGGCCAGGATGAAGCAAGGGGTCTCCACTCCCTCTGGGCTTCCCGTGTGGGTGCTGGGGAACAAGTGTCAGACCATCCTCCACTGCCTTCCCGGGGAGCAGCCCTGTCTCAAACCTGTTGGTGTCACGGGCCGTGTCTTGGCCCATTGCACTCCAGCGCTGATGCAGCAGGGGCCCTGTGGGTCCCGGGGGATGTTCCCCTCAGGGCTGTCTGCATGGTGGCTGCCTGGCGGGCGGCGGAGTGCCTTTGTGTAGCTTCTTCCCAGCCGGGCTGTGAACCGCGTGCTGTCCAGTGGGGAGTATAGACCAAAGAGAACTGGCTGGGGTTAGGCAGGACCGTTCATGGCCTCCTGGGCCTGTCAGCGGGAACCCCCGGCCTGGGGTGGGGAGCAGTTTCCCATGTGGGCTGCAGGGACTCACGAAGCTGGGCTGGCCTCCGCTGTGTCCAGACACACTAGCCGGCAGCTGGATCGGAGATGGAGCAGCCAGGACTAGAGCCAGTCACTCCTGTACGGGAGTGGGGAGCGGGACTGGGATAAGTCAGGAGTGGCAGAGCCCTCTCTGTGCCCCCTCAGAGCTCCCAGGGTGGCCCCTGGGCACGGGTCAGGGATCCACCAGTTGGTCGGGCAGTGGGAGGCAGCGGCTTCCCTGATGGGGCCCCTGTTGCTGTCCTAGACCTGGAAGAGGAGGCTGAGAGCTGGGACAATTCTGAGGCCGAGGAGGAGAAAGGCCCTGCGCAGCCAGGGGACGCCGGGAGGCGGGAGCTGACCAAGTGCCCACCGGATGCCTCCCTGCTCCCAGGCTGTGCCGCCTGGCAGCCCCGCAAGCTGTCTGTCTTCAAGTCCCTGCGGCACATGAGGCAGGTAGGCGGCCCAACCCAGCGCACTGCGGGGATGAGCTGCGGGAGCAGGTGTCCTGCGTGGGTGGCGTCCGTCCAGTGCTCTAGGCCTTGTCAATTCCGGGGTCCTCCAAAGGGGCCTTTGGTACGTGGGCACCGTTACCAGCTTGCGCACAGCCGTGGGTGGGGACAGTTGGACGGTGCCACAGCCACAACGGGAAGCGGGTTGTGGGTGTGGGGTTGTGAGTGACGCACACCGAGACAACAGGGCCATGGTCCTGCGCCCAGCTCTGTATTTTTATTCAAGGCTGTGTTTGGTTTCATAGCCAGGAAAACCAAAGTCATAGCCAGGAAACCTGTTTTATTTATTTTGTCTTTCTCTCAGTTTTTATTGATTCGTTTACTTATTTGAAGGTGTGACAGAGAGGTAGAGTCAAGGGGCGAGATTTTCTGTCCCCTGGTTCACTCCCAAGGTGCCTGCAGCTGGCCCAGGCTAAAGCCGGAAGCCCCGAGCTCCATCCGGGTCCCCCCCCCCCCGTGGGTGGCTGGATTAGAATCCAACCCAGGTTCTGTGGGAGGGGCTGCAGGTGTCCCAGGGGACAGCTCATGGTGCTGGGCCACAGTGCCCCGCTGCCCTCCTGCAGGGCCCTTGCTGAGATGCCAGGATGGTCAAAGTGACTGGGTCGGGTCCCTGGCTCAGAAGGGTCACAGCTGTGAAGGACACGGTCAGGGGCTCAGGCGAGAAGGCTGGGTCACACTCACCCCGTCTTGTCCCTTCTGCTGGCTCAGAAAGAGAAGGTGTCTGGCGCCCAAGTGCAGGTAGATGGCGCTCAAGTGAGCCGCATTTAGGCCTCCATGTGTTGAAAGCTGACGCATCTGGGCGCCTCAGCCTCAGCTTCGCTGTGCAAGGCTGGGGGTGCCATCTGGGCCCTGCTGACCCCAGGCAGGTACCCCGGGCTCCCCGAATTTAGCATGTGCCTGAGCTGGCACCTCGGCCCCGGTCACCTGGAGAGCCAGCGCTGCCTTCTGTGGTGCAGGTGCTGGGCGCGCCGTCTTTCCGCATGCTGGCCTGGCATGTTCTCATGGGCAACCAGGTGATCTGGAAGAGCAAGGATGTGGACCTCGTCCACTCGGCCTTCGAGGTCCTCCGGGTAAGCAGGGGCGTGTACACGTTACACACGCACGCGTGCGGGGCAGCACCACGTGCCACAAGGGGTCAAGGGCTGGTTGGGGCAGCCTTCCTCACAGCCTCTTTGTCCTTGATGTGCAGGGTCCCAGGAAGTGTCCCCTCCAGGGTGCCGGGTGGGAGTAGGGGCCGCCTTGGGGGGTGCCCCGTGGGGGCCGGGCCGTCCTGAGCGCTGTGTCCCCTGCAGACCATGCTGCCCGTGGGCTGTGTGCGCATCATCCCCTACAGCAGCCAGTACGAGGAGGCCTACCGCTGCAACTTCCTGGGGCTCAGCCCGCAAGTGCAGGTGCCCGCCCACGTGCTGGCCTCCGGTGCGTGCCCCGCTTGGGGGGTGGGGCTCAGCAGGCTGGGGCCCATCCTTCTGCCCGCTGGGCGCTGTGGGGTTCTGTTGCTTTCTGGCTTTTTTGTTTTAAGGTTGATTTATTGATCTGGGAGAGTGTCAGAGCAGGGGACACAAGAAGGAAAGAGTTTAATTTTCCATCTGGTGCTTCACTCCAAATAAAGCAGTGGGCAGGGTGGGCCCAGGTGGGAGGCAGGTGCCAGGAGCTCCATCTGGGTCTCCCACGTGGGCGGCAGGGAACTGAGCACCTGGGCCGTCCTTTCCTGTGAGCAGGGAACTGTCCGATTAGGAGTGGAGTGGCCAGGACCGAGATCAGGCCTCTGATCTGGGCTTTAGGCATTGCAAGCTGCAGGTTAACCCACTGTGCCCAGCACTGTCCCACGACAAGGCCCTGGCCTCTGGTGTGTGAGCCCCGTCCCTCCAGCACACCGCCAGCCTCGGGAGCGGGGCTGGGCGGCGGTAGGCGGGCTTGCGAGGGTGGTGCCATGTCTCACAGAGTTCGCTGTGGTGGTGGAGGTGCACACGGCGTCGCGCTCGCCCCTGCTGCCTGCCGGGCGTGAGGAAGAGCAACCGCTGAGCAAGTACGAGTTCGTGGTGACCAGCGGGAGCCCAGTGGCCGCAGACCGAGGTGAGTGTGACTGGCGATGCCGGGGGCACAGCCCAGCCCCCCTCGGCCCCTCTCACATGCCCCCTCCTGCCCTGTCCCCAGTGGGCCCCACCATCCTGAACAAGATTGAAGCGGCCCTGACCAACCAGAACCTGTCTGTGGACGTGGTGGACCAGTGCCTCGTGTGCCTCAAGGAGGAGTGGATGAAGTAAGCTCCCAGAGGGCGGCCGGGAATGCTTGCCTGTGAGGGACACAGCAGCCAGCAGTGCCCCTTACTGCTGCCCCCCACTTAGCCGAGGTGGGCCCTGTAGTTAGTTTCCAAGTGTCAAGATCAGAAAGCCAGTGTTCCTGGTATTTTTTTTTAAGTTTTACTTATTTTTAAAATGTTTATTATTATTATTTTTTTTTTATTGGAAAGTCAGATATACAGAGAGAGAGAGAGAAAGAGGAAGATCCTCCATCTGCTGATGGCTCTGGGCCGTCTGAATTCTTCCCCAGACCACAAGCAGGGAGCTGGATGAGAAGTAGGGCCATCAGGATTGGAACCAGCGCCCACATGGGATCCCAGAGAGTGCAAGGCGAGGACTTTAGCTCCTAGGCTACTATGCCGGGCCCTCTCCTGTTTCTTTTTTTAATTGAGGGAGAGACTGGTGCTGTGGCGCTGTATATTAAGCTTCCACCTGTGGCGCTTGCATCCCATATGCCAGTTCAAATCCTAGCTGCTCCATTTCCCATCCAGCCCCCTGCTAATGCACCTCGGAAAGCAGTTGAAGATGGCCCAGGTCCTTGGGCCTCCTGTAGCCACGAGGGAGACCAGGAAGAAGCTTCTGGTCCCTGGCTTTTGACTGGCTCAGCCCTGGCTGTTGTGACCATTTGGGAACTGAACCAACAGATGGAAGATCTCTGTCTCTCTCCCTCTCAAAAAAAAAAGGGGACGGATTTCCATGTCTGATTGACTCTGCCTCGCACCTGCAGTAGACCTGGCTGTGCCACTGCAGTGTCAGGCCAGGAACTGTCGCCAGAGCCGGGCGCTGCGCCCTGAGCGGGGGGCACCCTGCACAGCACCCCTGCTGCGCTGCAGGGGCCGTGGACTCAGAGCTGTCCCATGCTTGCTTCCCGCAGCAAAGTGAAGGTCCTGTTCAAGTTCACCAAGGTGGACAGCCGGCCCAAGGAGGACACACAGCGGCTGCTGAGTGTGCTGGGCGCGGCCGAGGAAGACAACGTAAAGCTGCTCAAGTTCTGGATGACGGGCCTGAGCAAGACCTACAAGTCGCATCTCATGTCCACGGTGCGCAGCCCCACGGCCACCGCCGAGGCGCGCAGCTGACCTGGGCCTCCAGACTCAGCTGCACCAGGCCCAGCCAAGAGACAGGTGGCCCTGGCCAGGTAGGCACCCCTGCAGTTGGCCCCGCGGGGGCAGGGATGGGGGCTGCCTGGCCTGCGCACTGCACTTCCTCCTCAGCACTCACAGCCTGGCGCAGTAGCTCCTGCAGTCGGCTGATTTGTGTTGTTGTCTTGTGTCCTTGTAATTTATATTTCCCGCAAAGACTTCCCCGTTTGTATGACTGGGTCTCTGTGGCCTGCAGAAATGTTGAGACACAGTAAAGTTGTACTTTGTTAAGCTATCGTCTTGGTACCTGACGCAGGTCGTGGCGTGGGGAGTGCGGCACCAGCGAGTGGCCGGCTCACCTGCCCCCAGCACTGGCCACTGGCTCCCGGGTGGAAGGTGGCTGGGGATCGGGTCATATTGGACACGTGGCGCTCCTTGGGGAACCCCAACCTTATGTTCCAAGCCGGCTACCGTCCAATCTGGCAATCCCAGGAACACTTGCAGCCAAATGAGTGGCAAGGGCGGGCAGGGCCGGCCCCTGCACCCTGCGCTGGGCACCTCCCCGTTCAGCCGCGGGAACTGGAGGGCTCCACCTGAGAGGAGACCATGCTGCTGTGGAGGCATCCCCTTGGTTAGGGTCCTGACCTTTGCACCCCAAGGCCAGTGAGCGGGTTCCTCTGGCACAGTGGTGAGGGAGGGCATGGTAGGGTGGCACGGCCTTGAGTGTGGCTCTCATGCAGTGGCTGCCCTGCTCTGCTCAGGGCAGTGAATGCACCAAACCCACCAGCCCCGAAGTGCCCAGACATGCACTTCTTCAGTGTTGGCAAGCCTGGGGCGCTGGGGCTCAATGCCAGCAAGTAGAAGGCCGTGCTGGCATGACCTGCATTTTTTTCCTGAAAACATTGTGTGCAGTGATTTTTAAGATTTTATTTTGGGGCCTGGCGCGGTGGCGCAGTGGTTAAGGTCCTCTCCTTGCACGCCCGGGATCCCATATGGCGCCGGTTCTAGTCCCGGCAGCCCTGCTTCCCATCCAGCTCCCTGCCTGTGGCCCGGGAAAGCAGTTGAGGACGGCCCAAAGCTTTGGGACCCTGCACCCACATGGGAGACCCGGAAGAGGCTCCTGGCTCTGTTGCGCTCACTTGAGGAGTGAATCATCGGACAGAAGATCTTCCTCTGTCTCTCTCTGTATATCTGACTTTCCAAAAAAAAAAAAAAAAATCTTAAAAAAAAAAAAGATTTTATTTTGATTGGAAAGGCAGGTTTACAGAGAGAAGGAGAGACAGAGAGATCTTCCATCCACTTATTCACTCCCCAAGTGGCTATAATGGCCAGAGCTGAACTAATCTGAAGCCAGGAGCCAGAAGCTTCTTCTGAGTCTCCCACATGGCTGCAGGGTTCCAAGGCTTTGGGCCGTCCTCGACTGCTTTCCCAGGCCACAGGCAGGGAGCTGGATGGTAAGTGGAGCTGCCTGGATTAGAACCGGTGCCCATATGGGATCCCGGTGCATTCAAGGTGAGGACTTTAGCCAGTAGGCCACTGCGCTGGGCCCTGATTCTTAAGTTGTTAAATTTTATAGATATCAATGCAACAGCATGGTATTCTGAGTATTTCAATGATGTCATGGGGGCAAGCACTGTGGCTTGGTGTATCACACCTGTCACTTGGGCTTCCATCTTCTGATCCTGTGGCCCTGCCAGCCACGAAGGAGAGCTGGGTGCTGGTCCTGGCCCTTGGCTTCTGCCTGCCCTTACCCCATGCAGGGAATTAATGGAACAAATCAGGAGATGAAAGATCTCTGTCATTCTGACTTGCCAATGATAAATCTCTTAAAAACCTTAAAAATGATTGGAGCTGTGGGGACTCTCCTGCTGGTACTCCTGCTGGTGAGCGTGAGAGCTGGGGCTGGTGGCGACCAGGCTGGGCAGGGCTACGCCACCTGTTGGTCTGCATGTGAACTGGATTGGGGGAGAGCCAGGCTGGGCCAACCGAGTACCCACTGGTGCAAGCATGACCCAGAACAAGGGCAGGGGTGTTGGGCTTTGCTGCAGCATCAGCTGGTAAGTGCTGGGACTGTGGGGGCCAGTGCTGTCGAGCTAGACTGCAGAACCACCTGGCGAGTGCAAGATCCAGGCTGGGAGTAGGGCCAGTGGGGAGGCGGTGGGCACCTCTCTGATAGGCTGCAGCTCCTGCGAGTGAGCATGAGAACCAGCACTGGGGGCAGGCCTGGCTGGACAGTGACACCCGCTGGCATGAGTGTGGGATGGAGGGTGGAGTCAGGTGCGATGAGTTAGGCCTCAGTGCACAGTGATATATACAAGAGCTGAATGGGAGGTGGGACAGACTGGACCAGCCTACTGCACATGCTGGCAGACACAGAAACCAGGACTCGGGGTGGGCCTGTGGGAGTTATTGGGGGTCACTCTGACTGGGCTGCAGCTGCCAACGGTGTACATGAGGGCCAAGTGTATGGTGGACAGGGTTGGGCTCGGCCACAGCCTCCGCTGGTTTGTGTAAGAACTGGGGCTGTAGAGAGATCTGATCTAGCAATTGCAATTACCAGACTGGACACAGGCTGTGGGCGACACAATGAACTGGACCCCGTTCAGGCAGGTGCACACACAGCAGTCAGGTCTGAGATCGCTTCAGACGACCTTTCCTTGGGAATCCCTCCCCAACTAAACTGCTGGACTCAAAACTCCAACCATGGGGAGAATCACAGGACCTGTGGTCTGACCGTGGAGCGCATCTGTCAGAGCTGAGCCTTGCAGGAGACTCAAGATGGCGGCAAAGGGTACAGACAGGTTTGAGATGATGGAAAATTATTAGGGTAAAGAACAGAGAGCACATTACAGAAAAAGATAGGAGTCAGGAAGTCAACAAGGAGGTACCTGGAGAACCCCTGGACACAGGGAAGAGGTGATGACAGCGGAGCAGTTTTACAGGGAACAGAAAACCCAGCAGCCACCCATGAACTGTGATCCGGACTCAAACAACAGCCAGGGATCCAGAGGTGACCACAGATCAGTCCTTCAGCCAGGTGGGAGCTTGGGTTCACACAGCGAGCTCAGGAGGTGAAGACAGGCTGGGACTGGCCAATCCTGCCAAATACTTTGCCCCAGCAACGAATGCCCCAGACTCTGTGGGACAGATGTGGTGGGTCGGAGCTAACAGCACAGGGATCAAACGCTGGAGTGGGCACTTTTCCAGCTAATCACACCTGGCTGATCTCACAAGGAGGACAGCGCCAGCTTCGCATCCTGCAGGATCTGTGTGGTCCCTGGATCAGAAAGCCAACAGCCCCGGCTCTCTGGCAGTCCTCTGCCAGGTGCCATCTTGTGTGTTTACACAAGATCAGTGCTGCTGATGAACCAGTTATCTGGGACAGTTGGCGTCTTCCTTACCCAGAACACTGATTTTAACATAAAAACTGACTTGTAGACCTGTAGGTAATACATTTTAGAAAAGTGCACTAAGGAGAAAAATATACCAAACAGGATTGCAGTGTCAAAAGTTAAGAGACAGAGGCACAGTGAATGTTACTGAAGACTCCCCGGTAGAGGAACAAAAGCCTCTACCACCCTTAGAGTGAACTGAGGAAGACACTGAAAAAATGAGGGACAAAGAATTCAGGAAATTTATTATAAAGCTTCTGACCAACAGCGAGAAGCACATAATACAAGAATTCAAAGAAGTTAAAGAATTTGTTACACAGGAAATGAATCAAATGAAAGCTGACATTTCAGAAGTTAGGAATACAGTGAAGCAGTGGAGAGTCTAAAAAATAGAATGAATGAAGCAGAAGAAAGAATATCAGAATTGGAAGATATTTCCTGTCACCAGGGGGAAACAAACAAAGCAGAGCTAGCCAAGCTAAAAAAAAAAAAAAAAATCCAGGAATTGAAAGATACAATTAAAAGACCCAACATAAGAATTATGGGAGTTCCAGAAGGTGCAGAAAGAGCAACTGGGATTGAAGGTGTATTCAAAGAAATAATACATCAAAGCTTCCCTAATCTAGAGAAAGAATTGGGAAATAACATACAGGAGGAGTACAAGACTCCAAACAGGGTTGACAAAAAGCAATCTTCACCAAGACACATGATAATTAAGCTCTCCTCAGTTGAACACAAGGAAAAAATCCTTAAATATGCATGTGACAAAAATCAAGTGACCCCAATCAAACTCACAGCTGACCTCTCAGAGGAAACACTGCAGGCAAGGAGAGAATGGAGTGACATATTCCAGACTTTAAAAGGGAAAAAATTTCAGCCCAGAATAACATCCTGCAAAGCTCTCCTTTGTCTTTTAAAGTGAAATAAAATTCTTCGCAATAAAGAAAAACTCTAAAACTTCACGTCCTCCAAACCAGCCCAACAGCTAATACTCAAAGATGTTCTAGTGATAGAGAAAAGGGAAGAGCAGCTACCAAACCCCAAGGCATATGTGGAGAACATCCCACTAAAAGGCCAACAGAAGACTCAACCAAAGAACACCACATTACCAAGATGACAGAACCAAACTGCCACCTATCCATATTAACATTGAATGAAAATGGCTTAAATTCATCAATCAAATGCCATGGATTAGAGGAATGGATCAAAAAATAAAGCCCATCTATCTGCTGCTTACAGGAGACACATCTCACTAACAAAGATCGAAGGAAACAAAGTGAAAGGATGAAAAAAGATATTCCAAGCGAATGGTAAGGAAAAACGTGCAGGGGTAGCCATTCTTATATCAGATGACATAGACATCTAGGAAAAACAGTAAAAGAGATGAAGAAGGGCACCACATAATGATCAAAGGATCCATTCAGCAAGAAGAAATCACCATAATAAATATATAGACACCAAATGCCAAGGCACCTAGCTATGTGAAACAAATATTAATGGACTTAAATGGAGAAATAGACTCCAATATAAAATAGTGTTGACCTTAATACCCCTTTAACATCAATGGACAGATCAAAAAAGCAAAAACTCAGCAAAGAAACAACAGAACTCACCTAAACTCTAGAGCAAATGGACTTAGTTGATATATATCGAACCTTTCATCCTACAGATAGAGAATACACTTTTTTTTCATCAGTTCATGGAGCCTTCTCCAGAATTGACCATGTTATAGGCCACAAAACAAGCCTCAGCAAATTTCAAAAAACCGAAATTATACCATGCATCTTCTCAGACCATCATGGAGTGAAGGCAGAGACTAAGAAGTCAAAACACCCGAGAAGACTTGCAAACACATGGAGACTGAATAGTACGTTACTAAATGAGCAATGGTTTAGAGAG